CTAGAATATTTGCTAGAAAGTAGCAATAGTTAGTTATCTTAGCATTAGCTAATTAGTATAAATAGATGACTAGGTCTATTGTAAAAAGCACGCATACGTGAGAGGTTTTTACTTTGTGTTTTACGTTTTATTATTTATAAAGTAAAACCTTTGAAGCTCAAACTGTTCTTGAATATTCATAGTTTACTTTTGAGTCTTCTTAACTTTCTTCATAAAATCACTATAATTTGGTTATTCGTAACTAGATTATAAGTGTTATTGAGAGATCTGGGATCAACACTGTAAGATATGTATTTCTTGTACTTGGGATCTATGTGGTGTATAAACATGTATTTCTTATGAATGAAGTTTATGTTACATGCAATGTGTTTTGTGGGGTGTTACAGAAAGTGGTATTAGAGTCTGAGTTTAAGAGATTTAGGTATTTAAAGTATAATACCTAGACTTAAACTATTTCATTGCATGTTAGGGGTCCCGGACATAGTTAGCACCATTGGAAATAAATATGATGAGTTAAAAGAACAGTGTAATTATGAATTTACAGGTACATATATGGACTTAGATTCTTCATTATATTTGGAAATGTGAATACGTGATTATTAACATTGAAATCTGCAGATGTCTAGCCGAACACGGAGATCTAAGAGAATTACTCGTCCTGAATCTGAGGAAAGAAAGGAATCACCTGTAAATCTTCCAACGAGTAGATCAGGAAATAGAGGTCAAGGGAGAACTAGTGGTAGGGGCAGAAGAAGAAGTTAGGCACAGGGAATGATTCAGGCTGAGACTCATTCCGAGCGGGAGTAATCTCACTCTAGGAATGTTCATGAAGAATAGGTGCCTCGTCGAGAGTATATAACAAGAGATATGCTGGTAGAAGAGATGGGAAAGTAAAGGGAAACCTTGACATCTTTCGTGAGAATACCTGCCAGGGTTGAAACAGAAAGAGTGGAAGTGCATCCCTCTGTTCCAGTTGCTCACAACAAGGAGGGAGACATCAAGATGTTTTTGACTTGTAAACCACCAACTTTCTCTGGAGAAAGAGATCCAGTTAAGGCCATGTGTTGGATTAAGGAGATCGAATATGTGTTTAACACTATTAGGTGTCTAGAAGCAGATAAAGCTCGATTTGATGTATTTGTATTGAAGTCTAATGCTTTGTTTTGGTGGGAAGTTGTGTCATTGCCCAGGACATATTTCTTACAAACCCTATCTTGGGCAGAATTTGTGAACCGATTCAAAGATCAGTTCTGTCCCAAGACGGCTGCAAGACAAATGGAGGAAGATGTTCTAAAGTTGGAACAGGGCAATAGAACTGTTCGAGAGTATACTGAGAAATTCATTGAGTATTCCCGATTTGCTGAACATTACATTTCGTCAGAATTCAGAAAGGTGGAGAGGTATATTTGGGGTATAAAACCGTCGATCCGTAAATTTGTGATCGCCATGAACCGAACTACCTTTTCACTAACTGTGGACGTGGCGGAAGTTACTGAACGAAACAAGAACATACAGATAGAGGGAAAGGTGGTTGGAAAGAGGAAATGGGAAGGACCTTCGTCTAACTTTTGAGGGTCAAAATCAGTGAAATATGATAACAGAACTGATCAGAAGGTCAGTGAAAAAATTTGTGCTCGGTGTCGACAGGTTCATCAAGGTGACTACAAAGCAAACCCGAGAAAATGTTATAAATATGGCGAGACAAATCAATTTTCAAGAAGTTACCCAACTAATAAAAGATGTTTTAATAGTAATTCCCTAGATCATATTCGACCCCACTGTTCGTTGTTGAGAACTCCACAGTTGACAATGGGAAGTAATGTATCTGGTACTCGGGGAAGATCTAGTGTATCCAGAGGAGGGCAAGGAGGAGCACGAGGTCGGTCCTTCCAGATGATAAAGAAAGAGGCAGAGACCACACCTGTCGTAGTAACAGGTACCTTTCTTCTGAATTCTATACATGCTAAATTGTTGTTTGACTCAGGTGCAAACTTTTCATTTCTATCCCTTCACTTGCTCAATTTGCATGTTTGAATTTTGTGCCACTTGATGATGAATTAGTAGTTGACACTGCTAATAGTCAAGAGCCTATTACCTATGTATTCAATAACAGCATTATTGTTATTGAGGGGCGTGAGTTACCAATTCGACTGTTCCCAATGCCGATGAAAGAGTTCGATGTAGTAGTAAGCATGGATTGGTTGGTAGAACATCATGCCAGTATTGTGTATAACAAAAAAATGATCAGAATCACCCTGCCAAGTAGAGGGACAGTTGTTATATATGGTGATCGTCAGAATCATCATACTAATCTTTTATCAGTACTAAAAGCCCAAAAATGTATCCAAAAGAAGTGTCAGGGATGTTTGTCTTATGTTATTGATGCAAAGAAAAAGAAAGGGAAGTAGGAGTTGATTCCAATTGTTAGTGAATTCAGAGTTTATCTCTTACCTAATGCAGCACGAGTAGCTAAAGCACCATATGGACTAGCTCCATCTGACTTCAAAGAATTGGTTATTCAATTAAAGGATTTGCTTGATAAAGGATTCATTCAACCTAGCAATTCTCCCTGGGGTGATCCAGTTTTTTTTGTTAAAAAAAAGATGGGTCTATGCGGATGTGTATAGACTATCGAGAATTAAACAAGTTGACAATGAAGAATAAATATTCATTGCCAAGGATTGATGACTTATTCAATCAACTGGTGGGAACAAGCTATTTCTTAAAGATCTATTTAAGATCAGGGTATCATCAGCTTAAAGTCAGAAAGGAAGACATTACCACAACAGCTTTTCGAACAAGGTACGGACACCATGAATTTTTAGTTATGCCATTCGGTCTAATTAATGCACCCGCAACCTTGATGGATTTAATGAATAGGGTATGCAAGGAGTATCTTGATAAATTTGTTATTGTATTTATTGATGATATCCTTATATACTCTAAAACCGAAGATGAGCACGCAGAACACCTCCACCTGATACTTTAACTTTTGAAAAGAGAAAAGTTGTATGCAAAATTGTCCAACTGTGAATTTTGGCTAAGGGAAGTCCAGTTCTTGGGTCATGTCATTTCAGAAGCAGGGGTGAAAGTAGATCCAACAAAGATTGAAGTAGTTGAAAAATGGGAGGCCCCAAAGACTCCTTATGATATTCGAAGCTTTTTGGGATTGGCAGGCTACTACCATAAATTTATTCAAGATTGTTTTTAAGATAGTTGTGCCGTTGACCAAATTGACTCGAAAGAATGTTAAATTTCAATGGGAGGAAGAACAACAAAAAGCCTTTCAACTGTTAAAAAAATCACCTCTGCAGTTCCCCATGGTTGACTCTACCAGAAGGAGAAGGAAATTTTGTAGTGGACAACCATGCCTAAAAACAAGGGTTTGCATGTGTTCTGATGCAAAGAGGAAAGGTGATTTCTTATGCTTCTAGGCAACTAAAAGATCACGAGAAGCAATACCCAACTCATCATATGGAATTAGCAGCAGTGGTATTTGCTTGGAAAATATGGAGGCGTTATCTTCTGGGAACAAAGTGTCAGGTCTACACTGATCATAAAAGTTTACAACATTTAGTCAACAAAAAAGAGTTGATGTGACATTCTGTCATTTCGGAGTCTCAGGTTAACATTTTATTATAGATCCTATATTTAGAAATAATATTTCTCTAGGACCTATTTTTAGTGATTAAAATTCATCTAGCTTAGCTCCCAAGTTTTGTTTGGAAGATCACACCTCGGTGGGAGATCAGATAAAGCTAACTTGTGTAATGCCAAATATTTTTGAAATGCTCTAAATAAAATAAAGTTGATATTATAAACTTTTAAATTAAAAATGCAAAAGTCCCATTTGAATGTCCACTTGATTTATCAAAAGATGGAGTTTTGGGTTTAAWAATGTCATTCTATTTAYGTTGGGTAAATATTTTRGTGGGSTTATTCTTATTGAGAAAAATAKAAGTTTTATTTGGTTYGGGCCTTTAGAGGCCAKCCCATTTRTTTCATTAAAMTCCTTGTATAAATACCCCTCATCCTTTGAAAACTCTCATTTTCRTTATCGCCAACTTGAAACTTTTCATCTCTCTAAACTCTCTCTAAGATCAATCACTCTCCAGCCGAATCCACCTTTAAGCAAGTCTTTAGAAATTCTCTCTCTCAATCTTGAAGATCCTTCAAGATTATAAGAAAGAGGTACGATACTAGTTATTTTATTTTTGTAAAATATCATGAGACTCTATCTTATTTCTTCCACATCTCGGCCATGTAGTTGAATTTTTCTGGAGAACCAAAGAGGGGAGATTATTCGTTGAAAACATGAAAATGTTTTCAAAGAGGATAATAATCTATGATCCATGTTCCTTGAACTCCAAAGTAGGAAGGGGAAAACCATTGCATGTGAAGTTTAAGCATGTAAAACTATGTTTTGAAGTGTTAAATCTTGCATGCAACTTAATCTATCCTATCTTCTTTGAAAACTCAATGGAATCGAGAAAGATTCTTCCCTGGAGATTTAAATTTATTTTGCTAGCTTGAAAATGGTGATTACCTTTGGAAAATGATGAGTTCGACCCCAAATAATTGCCGCTTGGTGAGCGTGCAATTTGTTTTGGGGGCTGTGTAATTCAAGGTTGTAAGGTAATGATGAGGAATTTAAAACTCACTCAAACTTCTTGATATTTGGAATAGTCGGCTGATGTCATTATCTTAAATGATGTGACAAGTTGGGCATAAAATAACTTTTGGAAGGTTTCTACCTTTAGAGTCTTGTGAACCCCAAGAATTCTTGGAACATAATGTATAATCTGTCCAAAAATCAGCTTTTGAGTAAAAGATTTTGATTTCTTTTATTTTGGACTATTATTAGTTTATTAATAAAATATCAATTTTATTTCCTAAAATCCGATGGCATTACATAGGGTGCAACTTGACTCTATTTTCGTCTAGAGCTCATAGGAGATCTGAATGTGGGATGTTGGTCTATTTAGGAAGACAGGGCAGACGTTGAGAGCTTCAGACTTCATTTCCTCGGATATTCATCATCAAACCAGTGAGTTCTCATGGCGCCACTTTTAATGCTTTGTTTATTGTTTTGGGGGAAAAGCATGAGATTAAGCAAACTATGCATATTACTTGTTTGAAAACCATTGGACTAAGGAACTGCTTAGTCAAGCTTTGTTTAAAACCATTGGACTAAGGAACTGCTTAGTCAAGTTTTGTTTGTAACCACTGGACTAAGGAACTGCTTAGTCATGTTTATTATGTCATGAAATATTGACTGTTACTGCACTTTGAAATAAATGTTAAATTGATGTGCTTGGGAGTATATTTTCCAAATAAAGTCCCCGTCCGTAAACGCTACTTGTTAACTCGGGTACATCCCCGGGCCGTGGTATTGTGGACAGCCGCTATTGTGTTGACAGTCCCACCCAGAAAGGGGTGCACATTACCTATGTTTTCTTATTTAATCATGTGGAATTTGGACCATCGCTGAATTAGTATATCTACGAACTGTGGGACCTAAGTAAGTGTACGGGCTACTTATGGTCGTTCGTAAAATAATGGGGCAAGTTGGTCAGGTAAGGCTYRGTAGCRTCTCAAGTTTTTACATCGTGGAAGATTTACATTTATTAAGTGCCAAAGATTCGCATAAGTTTGCAAATATTTGGTTTATGCATTAAAATGTTTTATGCATGTGAAAACCCGTGAGCCGACCAACTCTTTGTAGTTGACTCGTTTTATGTTCCATGCTTTTCAGGTAGCAAGTAAGAAATGAAGTATTTGGGAGCATACTTGTGGAAAAACTGATTAAGTTGAAAATGGAAACCTTTGTAAAAGAAGTATTTGTCAAAATTTGGTTATGATGTTAAACTCATTTTATTTTGAAAAATTGAAAAGTGTTATTTATTAATTGTTGTTGTGACTCGCTTGCCTATTACATCTCGTGTTTCCGCTTTAGCGGGATGTGACAGATTTGGTATCAGAGCTTCAGTTATAGAGAACGCTGATTTTTCTTAAAAACCATCGACTATAACGAAAAATTTTGAAACTGGATTTTTAAGTAATCTGGAATTATATGATTTTAAAGTGGGTCACATTATTATATGTCGATTAAACAAAGCCTGATCACCTGTGTTTAACTAACATATAATAAAAAGAACTTAATTGGTTTTACTAGAGATATGCTCCCGTAAAGAAATTGTTATGAAAAGCACGATTTTATGTGTTATACTCACTATGAATATCCATTGCCCTAGAAGGACAAGAAGCGATGGGTAGAAAAACCCTTATCTTGTTAAGTGTCCATGTTGGACCAGAAGCTCTGGTTAGAAGGACCAGCGGCAATGGGATAGAAATTCTATAAAATTTCTAAGTGCTTAAGTGGTATCAGAAGCTCAGGTTAGAAGGACCAGAGACAATGGGATAGAAATCTCATAAAGCTATAAAGTGTGTATGTGGTACAAGAAGCTCTGGTTAGAAGGATCAGAGGCAAAGGAATAGGAACTCCTTAAATTTGTTTAAGTTCATGGATGCACCAGAAGCATTGATGAGATGGAAACTAGAGATCTATGGAT